AAGAGAGAGAGAGAGAGAGAGAGAGAGAGAGAGAGAGAGAGAGAGAGAGAGAGAGAGAGAGAGAGAGAGAGAAACCTGCATTTTGTGTTTGTTATCCCAAAAACGGTCATCGTCGCCAGCACTCGACGGAGCTGCGTTCATAAGTTCGATTCTTCAGATAACTTTCCAGTCTGATAACTTTCCAGTCTGCCTTAGTCATGTGAATCTGGACTTGTTGTGAGGGAAGATGCATGCATGGTGAATGCTGTCGAGTAGGTGTTGCATTATGTATTTGATGCCAAAACAACAATCCATCCTTAAACGATGTAAGTCGATGTATTCTTATTATAATCTGGTTTCATTACTGCAAGGGAGGGAAGGGGAGAAGGGAGAGGGAAGGGGTGATGGAGAAATCATAAGAACGTGTGAATTAAGGATATAGAATCCCAGATCACATAGTTTGCCAAAAACATACCATTTAATGAGCACTAGATTCTTGGGTTTACAGAATGTGTCTGCAGCACAGTGTACTTACTATTTATGCACGCATGGTTAATACCCTTCATTTAAAATTTTCCATTCATGAAAACAAAAACAAAAAAAAAAGGGCCCAGAGAGGAAGGAAACAAAACCTACTTGCTCGAGGAAATGGAGTGAAAGATTAATGTACTTGGCCTCCTTCAAGATCTGCCAACAGCTTTCGATGACCAGACCAAATTCCAATCCAATGGGAACTCTGGGTCAGATCCAAAAAGTAGCTTAACTCTCTTACAAACTTTAAAAAGTTGATGGGGATGCCATGGGTTCCCACCAGCACCTCAGTTGGGATTCTGGAGGGCTTAATTTTGCACAGCTTTGTATAGTCTGAAGACTTTACATCAGAACGAAATTGTATTCAAGAAACAAGGCAACACAAAAGGGTTTGTATTATTGAGACGACTGGCATAACTCGGCGATCAAACAAAGACCTTTAGCACACTATTGCGAAGATCAAGACCTCATCTTGGCATGAGAGAGGCGATGATAGGTGGGTTCATCAAATCAAAACTCTAGGGGGACAGGAAAATTTGACAGTTCGTGTCTGCACATACTGAGAGCCATTTGACAGTCAATCCTCGCCGCCCTAAGTGGGCGGAAGCGTGGAGTGTTTCAATCTATGTAAAACATTTTCCTAGTTGCAGACGGAAATGAATCGGGCTGATGTCCACATAATGGACATGGAGCCAGGACCATAATTAGAAAAAAAAAGAAGTTCACCTTGAAAATAGGCCTGATTCCGCATTAGAATGGATACAGTAGAATTGGGGAACTAGTAGTGAAGGGGAAATAGGGATGGTACGGACTACGAAGGTGATAGAGCTAGGAAATCAGCAGGATGACAGGCGGCTTGAGGAACTACCACAGACGCACCCCCCCCGTGCCTGGCCTCTCTGGTTTTTGACCTGCTGCGTGACTGGGTGCTGCTAGTAAGCTTCCTGGCCTGCAGGCCAACCCCCTATAAAAGGCCAAGGCCTGGGGGATGGGACGCTCTGTAGTAGTCCCCCCCTTGATAGGCGTCTAGTACCACAAGGGCTGGGCCGCTGCCACAGTGAATCGGTGATGTCTCTGGAAAAAATCACAATTTTCAAATAAATAAACTTTAATCAAGGCATTGACCATTGGTTGCGGGTAAGCCATTGAAGTTTATTGAACTTTCTGTTTTGCTTTAATTTATTTCTCTCTTCAATTTCCTGACTTTTTTTTTTTTTTTTTTTAACCACCACTACCTTTCAGAGTGCAAGGCTAAGTCGTGAATACAACCTATACCACATTCTTTGGAAGCCGGGCGCCACCGGACAATAATGGCTGGCGGCGGTTGCCCTGGTGCTTTGGCAAAGCTTGGAGAGCAGTTCTACTCTGCCTCGGCAAAAAGAGGCTCAAAGGTAGTGATGGTTCAATGTAACAAGTAGAGGCCCACAGCCACCCCGATGTGGCACAGGCCCGCAGGTGGGGCATGCTGGGGGCAGTTTAGAGCCTTGGGCAGTGGGCCCTTTTTTAAATAAGAGAGCTCTCTGGGGGTCAAATGAAGTAGCGTAGAAAGAACAGCCAGGCTACCCAAAGTGAAGGCCGGCCTGAGGGAATGACACGGGCTCTGGAAAATGCCGGAAGGGGAAGATCTGGGCCTGTGTACTGAGCCCAGTCTCCATAAGAAGACAAAAGGGAAGCGGGCATTGTAGAGTGGACATTCGGGCAGTAGGCAGCTAGCAGCAGTGTTGGACAGTGCGAGTGGCCAGAGGAGCGCCCGAGGAAGAAGAAGGAAGTTGTGGTGGCTGCTACCTGGAATCAAACATAGCTGGGGAACCAGTTGCAGGGCAGCAGGGTGGCAGAGTGTAGAAGTGGTCAGGAAGGGAAGGAAGACAGTAGGGATTGGCAGGCTTACCTGGTGTTGGTGCAGGAAGCCTGTGTGAGCAGGGTCTTCAAGCAGCACTCGGCGAGTGACATGTGAGAGTGAGAGTGTGGTAGCACGAGTAGGCGCTCATATCCCAGAAGGGCTACTACATTGTTCTTGTACTTATGACGAGAGGCGAGAAGTGGGCCTTTCTCTATCAAGCGACTTCAGTGTTCTGTTTGCTCCTAATCGGTGTGCGACCTGCTTTCAACTCAGCTCAATCACGCTTGCTCTTCTATGAGCTCTTGCAGTTTAGAAAATCGGTTGTTCTCATTGTATAGTTCCCTGTACTAGTCTGTCCAGTGGTACTTCAAGGTTGTGCCTGGATTTTCAAGACTCGCTTTCATTCACGCTCTCATGCATGCAAACAGGTGTGCAGCAAACTGGCGACAAGCGCCCACTCAGAACTCAGAGATATGGTAGCCCAGAACACAGATCAGATACAAGTTCACTTCGATGGCTATGGCGACTCAGCGCCCACCACACAACTCTCTGTTCGCATACACAGGATCACCCTGGATATCCCACACGCGATACTCTGAACACACACACACGCTGAACTCTATCTACAGCTATGGCGGCTATGGCCGCTACTACCCTATCGCTATGGCTACACTCCTTCTCTCTCGCCCACTTCGTCCTCGGGCTCACTGCAGACCACCTCGCACAAGTCGCTTGTGGCAGCGCTTCCGCATGGCTCACGCAGGAATGACTGAATGGCTGGGCGCTGCCTCTTGATTTATACTTCTGCAGCTCGTTGGTCTGGCCCTTTCCCAAGCCCGTAGTGCACACAGTCTCATGCGGTACTTGCTTGACTGGACCAGGACTGACTGGGGACTGGGACTGTTGACTCAGCACGGGTAGACTCCACCACTTGCCCACTTGCCTCATCACTTGCCCACTTGCCTCAGCCTAAACGTGGGCAACTTCGAAAGGCCACTACTGGGACCTTCCGGAAGGCCATAGACTTGGCCTTTCGTTACTGTAGCAGCTACGACCTTGACCCTTTGAGACAGCTAAAGCTATGACTGCTAGACCTGACTGGAACTCCTACTCGACAGGTCTACAGATCGAACCCTTAGTACCTATGGACCCTACGACAGTCTACCAACTGCCAACTGTTACAAATACACAGGTCACGGGTTCAACTCTAGGGGTCGACACAGATACTGTACACAGGTAAGGTGGGGACTAGGGATCGAGCCCCGGGATCTGCATCAGCTACTGCGAATTGGTGAATACTGTTTCAGTGGTAGCGCGAGTAGAGGTAGTAGGAGATAGAGCAAGCCGTTCATATCCCAGAAGGGCTACTACATTGTTCTTGTACTTACGACGAGAGGCGAGAAGTGGGGCTTTCTTTATCAAGAGACTTCACTGTTCTGTTTGCACCTAATCGGTGTACGACCTGCTTTCAACTCAGCTCAATCACACTTGCTCTTCTATGAGCTCTTGCAGTTTTTTTTTTTTTTTTTTTTTTTTTTTTAAACAGGGCCTTATGGACCTGGCTCCTTCGATTCTGGGGAGCGTCAGTCCGGTTCCTATTCCACCGGCAAGTCAAAAGTACATTACATCAATAACCACTCACACACGCTTCCTTCCGTCAGGCCGAAGGACCCCTGAACAGCATTGATTACTCCACTGCGGTGGAGGATTGACTGTCAGCTTGCCCTGTCCCTCTCTTTCCTCTCAGACCTGGGTACCAGATCTGCCAGATAGCGCCCTTGACCCTAGAAAGAGCTCATTCGTTGTCCTTGTCGACCTGTTCCCTCCCCACTCATCTCCCTGCCCCTTTGGATGATCAACGATCTGTCCTTAAACCCTAAAACTTTCGCCTGCGCTCCTGTCTTCCTATCTTCCACCTTGGACCTGGCGGCGCTTCATTTGCTTCCGGACTTCTGTGATGAAATCCTTCTTTGCAACCCTCGTTCCTGCTCTGGTGTAGTCGCTCTCCCCAATTTATCCTCCTTTCCCCCACGTTCCCTCTTTGTCTGTACCCTCTGGGCCTCTTGAGGGTTGTCTACCTTCATTTGCGACCAAAGATGTGAATATGCCTTCCAACGTTATCTGTTGTTGAAAGCCTCTTTCTGGAGTACTGTGCCAAACTCTCCAGCATGATCTGGTCCTGTAGCAATTAAACATCCTTGCCTTTTTCCAGCCAATTCTTATAAAAAGTCTGCCTCTCCTTTTAGTGCTGTTCTTCCCCTTCTGTCCAGGTTTGTTTGATCTTCCACCGTCTGCAAAGGATCTCAGCTTGAATCATTGTTCTGGTTTCTGTATGCGCCTTCCCCCATGGGTTGGGCCGTCGTTCAGTTGTTCTGCTGCATTTCTCCTTCCATCTGCCCCAAAGGGACACTGTCCTTATGAATACAACACTGGTCCCTTCTGTCTTCTGTGTCTGATCCGGGATGTTAGTCAAGAGGAGCAGTTGGGTGGGTTGATCAGGGAAGGGAGACGTGAACAGGGAGACCCGGAGTGATGTATCTCTCGTCTAGTTATTCTGTCGTCCCTTTACACGCCAGTAAACAGTGATCCACCTCTTCTGTCCCTCATTCTGTGCAGACTGTTCATAGCTCTTGGCTATCCGGGTCCGCAGCTTTCCGTCTAGTGTGCAGTCATTGGTTCACCAGTAGGGGTTTGTGTGCAATCAGTCGCTGCATCCTTCTGATCCTTTTTTAATGGGGGATGTGTGCTAGATCATGCTGGGGAAAGTAGGTGCAAACTGCATTGCAACGATGGTTGACAGGAAGTATTGTGGTTTAGTCGAGTCCGAAGTTGTGGAAACGCAGTGGGTGGGTGGAAATTAGGTACAGCCTTTCTTGTTGTTAGTCCCAGTTTGTGAAGAGTAGAGGACCTCCATCTATTTTTGCGATTTTGTTCTCTAAAAGCCATGTTTTTTTAAATTCTCTCAGACTCAATTCTTTTTTGTCTGGTAGTATTATCTTCTGTTGTTCTTTTTGTTCTTTGATCCAACGTGCTCTTACTTCCGTTTGTATTATGCTTTTTATTTCAACCCATTTCTCCTCTAAGGTTGACAATTGTCCTTCTAAAGAGCCTTTGCACCTTGCTTTCCAGATTGCCCAGAGCGTTGCTGTCCTCCATAAGTCTGCCATTAACACTGCACCTTCTTCTAGTTCTTCGCTTTCCAGTCTTCCCGTTAGCAGATACAGTGGATTGCTGGGGGGATTATGGTTCATTAGCTTTTGCCAGAGGTTTTTTGTTTTAATCCACACTTCTTGTGCTTGTTGGCAAGATATTAGGC